CCCCAACCCCCCCGGCAGCTCCGTCACTGTCCCCGTGTCCCCACAGCCCCCTGGGACTGGCCGCTCGGGGGGGAGTGTGTGTGTGCCCCCCCAGCTGCCCCATGGAGCATCCCGGTGTGGGGGACACTGGAGGATCCCGGTGGGGGGGGGCACCAGAACATCCTGGATCAGGGAAAATGGGAGCATCCCCCTCTGGGGACACCGGAGGATCCCAATCCAGGGACAAAGGAGCATCCCGTTCCGGGGGACATCACAGCACCTCGCTCCAGGGACACCGGAGCATCCCTGTCTGGGGACACCGGAGCATCCTGCTCCAGGGACATGGGGGCATCCCGGCCTGGGAACACCCGTGCATCCCCACCCAGGTGACACCAGGGCATCCCAGTCCAGGGAAAATCGGAGCATCCAGCTCTGGGGGACACTGGAATGGCCCTGTCCGGGGGACACAGGAGCATCCCACTCTGGGGAACAACGGAGCATCCTGCCCCGGGTGACATCGGAGCATCCTGCTCCAGGGACACCGGAGCGTCCCATCCCGGGAACACCGGAGCGTCCTGCTCCAGGGACATCAGAGCATCCCAGCCCAGGGAAAATCAGAGCATCTCGGCCCCGGGGACATCGGACCATCCTGGTCCAGGGGAAATCAGAGCATTGCAGTCCCGAGACAAAGGAGCATCCTGGAGCATCCTCCAGGGACACGGGAGGATCCCGGCTCAGGGACACCAGAGCATCCCAGTCTGGGGGAGACTGGAGCATCCTGGTCCGGGGAGCCGAGGAGCGTTCTGGTCCGGGTGACATCGAAGCGTCCCAGCCCGGGAGCACCGGAGCATCCTGGGCCGGGGGACATCGCGGTGTCCTGGGCCAGGGACACGGGAGCATCTTGGCTCAGGGGCCACCGGAGCGTCCTGGGCCGGGGGGAATCGGAGCAAACTGGGGAGCAACGGAGGATCCTGGGGAGCAACGGAGGATCCTGACCCGGGGACATTGGAGCATCCTGGTCCAGAGGACACCAGAGCATCCCAGACCAGGGACATCAGAGGATCCTGGACCAGGGACATTGGAGCATCCTGGTCTAGAGGACATTGGAGCACCCCAGTTCCAGGACATCGGAGCATCTCAGTCCCAGGACACCGGAGGATCCCGGACCAGGGACACCAGCTCATCCCAGTCTGGGGGAGACTGGAGCATCCCGGTCCGGGAACATGGGACCATCCCAATCCGGGGACCAAAGAGCATCCTGGTTCGGGGGCCACCAGCGCATCCCGCGCCAGGGACACCGGAGCGTCCCGGCCCCGGGGACACCGGAGGATCCCGGTCCAGAGACACCGGAGCATCCCGGGAGGGGGGGCGGCACCGGCGGCAGGTCCGG